GAACATTTAAACAGAGAAGAACCTTTATGCAGACTTCTTAAATAGGTAATATAGAAAAGTTATATATGTAGCCAATTGTATGCTCTTTTGTAGTAGTTTATAAAATCATATTATCAATAAAGATATTAATAAAAGTCAAAAGACCAAAAAAGTCACTATAACACCAAAAACTATATATATATAAAGATAAAATTATTTAATAAACTATTAAAATTTATAAGATTTTTTTGTAATTTATTAATAAATCTATTAACAAATTAAAATTATTAAAATATTATTAATTAATTTTATTTTATACTCTAATTAATCTGATTTTATATATAAAATTATATTAAAAATATATATTATTATATTAAATTATATTAAATTTACAAATTTTTAGATTTTTAAAGCATTACCTAAATCAAAAAATTAAAAAAAACTTAATCTTATCTTAGTGCATTATTAAGACTAAAAGCTAGTATTAAATATGTTTTAATTTATAAAAGGCTTATTATACAATAAGGGCTTGCAAATTGCCTATTTTTGAAGCCTGGTCTAGCTTACATTTAGGGTTAAAAATTTTTTGCCAGCCTGGCCTAGCCTAGCCTGAATTTAGGGGTAAAATTTTTTTACCAACATGACTCAGTTTGCATATAATTAAATTTTTTTTTTAGCTCAGTCTACAAAATTTCTTATATAATTTTGCAAAATTTTAGATTCAGTTTGGTTTACAAATTTTTTATATAATTTTGCAAAATTTTAGATCTGGTCTGACCTGCAATTATAAAATTTTGCTTTAGGTTCAGCCTGATCTGAAAAATTTTGTAAGCCAAACCATGCCTAAAAAATTTGTAAACCAGGTCAGGCTGTGAGACCCAATGCAGGCCTCTAATTATTTTTTTCAGTATTAAGATGACCTTTTTAATTCTAGCTTTTTATTAATACTTATATTAGGTACATGTTTTATATGTATCTATATTGAACTATTAAATGACTATACAACTGGCTGTACATGTAACTTTTCTATATTATTTATTTAAAGATTCTGCCTAAGATTTCTCACCAGTTGTCATATCTAACACTTCTGCTTAGATGTTCTATTTAAACCCTCTAATTTGATCTTAATATTAATTTTATCTGATCATAAACTCAGATTTATTTACTTTTAACTATAGGACTATAATCTTTAGACTATTTTTATCTTTGAGGCAAATCTACCAAAGTGAGCCATATTTTCTTTTACTACTAACCTAGTTTAATGCTATGACTAAGATCAATACTTGTAATTAAGTTTATGCATTAAACTGCTATTACTCTTGTAAAGTTTATTTAAATTTTAGTACCTATCTTTTTAACTTCTTTTCCATTATCTTCTACTAGCTGCAACTTGAAACTAACAACAGACTCTCCAGACTTTTAATTCAGATGACCTGATATAGTATACTTATGTATCCTTTTCTTTAGCAATTCTGGTAGCCTGGTTGGTTATATGCTCCTCTAGATATTTTGTCATCTGGTTTATTTGACAGTTTCTAAAAAGATGTTTTATAGACTTTCATCAGTCCAATAGCACTATCAAAAGTTTATGCTATCTCTTTATTTAGAATTTTTAAGTAAACTTTTGGCTTCTTGATTTCTTAGTTTTTTACATTTGGTAGTTTTATCACAGGGTTGTACTGAAACCTTATGCAATACTAGTTTTTATATTTCTCTATATATGTATAATATTACAGTTTGCATAGATACCTTAAGCTCCCAAAATCAGGTAGGCTTCAACCTGTATATCCAAGATTATAAATGTATAAATTTAACTGATCAACAAGAAACAGTTACTATAACACAGATATAATTTTCAAAATTTATTATCTGTAGAAATTGAACCTTAGACTTGCTACTTGGAGGTTAACAACCTATCTACTTTACTAGGTCATTACACCTCTATGCAGGCCTCTAATATGCAATATAAAACTAATATTATAGTATAATCAAGTAATAAACAACTTAACTATACAGTTTACTTATTTATTAATATAACAAATCTAAACAAATACTAATAAATTAATATATCTATAATCTATTTAACTTATTTTAAAATAATTACTATTATATACAAACAATATATATATGTTAATATAAAAAAAATATACAAAATATTATATCTATTAATATTATTAGAATCTAATTAAAAATTAATTATACAAGATGTGATGACCTAATAAAGTGATCAAATTGTCAACTCTCCAAGTGGTAGATTGGGTGTTCAAATTCTATTAACAGTAAAAATTTAAATAATTATCTATATAATATTTATATTATAGCAACTTTTACTAATGATTAGGTTAAGATATCTGTAATAACAGTTACACAACATGATTGACAGATCATAGAGCATCTGTGCAATGTTGGAGTTATATAAAGAAATGTAAACTAACAGATTAGGCAGTGCAAACACTAGATAAGTTCTTGTAACTATATAAATCTGTTAAAATTGGATAACAAGAAGTTTATTTAGAAAGATCTGAGTAGAGAGTTAGCTAGATCTTTAACAGTTCTATTGTAAAAACTAGCTTAGAAAAACAGATATTAAGGTTATAATAACTGGTTGTAGTAGCTAGACAGGTAAGCACCTCTAGATTGGAAGTCTCAGAGGTATCACCAACTAGGTTATCAGAATAAACTAGAGGAAAAGAATATTGGGCTAACCTAATATACCAATAGACTAATTGTAGTCTTATATTGATTATCTGAATTGGAAGTTTGGTAAAAAGGTAAGTAAAAAAGCAGAAGTATACTAAAGTACCAAGGTTATGCTATGAAGTAGATACTAGAGTCTAAGTAAACTCTACAAGAGTATAGCAGTTTAATGGTTAAGTCCTGATCACAAGTGTTAGTTTTGCTATAGTAATCTCTAGATTAGCTATAAAAATGAGTACAATAGGCTTTGGAGGGTTTACCTCAAGGATAAAATAGTCCTAAAGTTGAGACAATAATCTGGATATCAGGTATAACTCAATAAAGTTAACAGGTTTGCAGTTTCAAAGAATTTAAAGTAGAATACCCAAGCAGAGGTGTCAGGTACAGTAATTGGTAAAGAACCTTTGGCAGACTCCTCAAATAGGTAATATAGAAAAGTTACATATATAGCCAATTGTACATTCTTCTTGTAATGGTTTACTAAACCACATTTACTATTATTAAATAAAGTTAAAAGATCCAAGAGGTTATCTTAACACTAAAAAAAAAAAATTAATTACACAAACATCAAATAAGACTATATTAAAATAATTTATATATAAACCACATATTTAGAAAATTTGTATAATACTACAAAATATATAACAATTATAATATAATATTTACAAAACTAAATACAAATATAGAATTAAATTAAAGCAAAATAGATTAGATAATATTTTATAATTTTATTAACTACAATAATAAAGCTATAAGCATATTTATACTACTGCAATTCTTATGAATCAAAATATTTAAAATCAAAATTCTAATTAATTAATTATTTATAATTCTCAATATAAATACTAATAGTTCAAATAAATATTCTAATTCAAACTACCCAATATGTCAAAACAGTATAGAACCAAATATATACTAAATAATATACCTGATCATTACTGAAACAATAAACATTAATTTAAAAAAACAAATATTAATTCAACTAAAAATGTTAAAATTATTACAAACACTTTAAGACCTATATAACAAAATTATACAGACAACTTTAACAGTAATATTATTGATATTCTAACAAACCAATAACAATATAATTAATTAGATCAACATTAAAAAAAAGACCAAACATAAATTAGTAATAATATTATTATATAAGATAAACAAAAAGGTTTACAAATAAGTATGAATATAATAATATCAAACCATATTACATAACTGACTTCTATAAATATAGCAACTGCTACAATTACAACAACAAATAACGCTAACCAGATAAATACTAATCAAACCCAAACCAAAATAATACAAATTAAACTAAAAAATAAGCAAATGTCTTTGTCCAATGTAATAAAACACCTGACAGCATAATGTAATCAATGACTTCAACCCCTCTTGGCAAGGTTTGGGTCATAAATAAATATTCTAAATCTTAATTTTTATAGATAGTTTATTTAATGTATCTGTAAATTGAGGTTCTTATGTAGCAATAAATCAATAAAAAAAACTGAGGCAAGGCCTCGTTTTATTTTTTAAAAAAAATTAAAAATAAAAAATATAAATAAATAAATAACAATTATCATAGTAATAAGCTATGTTCGAGAAAATACGGTTATGTTTTCTAAATATACATATGCATAACGGTAAATGATACAATTTACGGACAAGTCAATTATAATTGACATAAATTGAAATATGACGCGGAATATAAAAATGCTTTTTTCACGTCCAGAGGCAACACAAGCACACCAGAAGTACCGAAAATTTTCTTGTGAACTAAGCTCTAAATGATTCCCAATATGTATCGCTAACAATAATGAGAGATTTACAAATTTTGCAATCCGAACGAATTTATTACAACACAATCAAAGAATCTAAAACATTAATAACACAAAAAAAAGTATAGACATTTGACATGCCTATTTACTAGTCTGAAATCAAATGCAGTGATTTAACGCCGTATGAAATTCCAGTGGCTCATACCATGTAAGTATCTCCTTATAATTGAGTAATTGCCATTGTTTACATAATAGGAAATATTTAGTTGCAAATAAATTTAATTGGATATCTATCTATCTTTAGTTATATGATTTTATTTATTAAAAGACAAAGTTTGTATAATAAACCTACTGATTATTTAATTATATGGCGACAAAGTCGTCACATGTGCAAATCTAGTTTATCAAATTTAAGTGATCCCGATTAAACTGATTTATATGAGCCAGCCGCCCTGGCGATTTATATAAAGCGATTAATGTCTAAAAAAATACAACAATTGACATTATATCACGAATAAAACTAAAAAAAGTGAAATATTAGTACCAAAAATAATGGACATATACCAACTTGCACAAAATAAAGATAAAAAATCTATTCATGCATTTTTAAAAAAATGCCTTGAAAGGACGAATTTAGAGAAAGAAAAGACCCTTGAAGAGCTTTCAAAGTGCTTACGCGATTCTCCTAGTGTTTACTTACCAATTTTAGGATCCATAGTGTCTTGTCTCCATTCACGAAATTCACTGCACCTTGATTTTGTATCATCATTAATCAATATAATCTTCGTACAGAATTTACAATACCTTTCAGATTTTCCTAGCTTCGGTGTACTTCTCTCCAGATGCGTTGAACTCCTATGGAAAACTGATATTGTACATCTTGCTATCTTGACAACAAAAAGTTTGTTTAGTGCAATCATTGATGTAAACTGTGTCATAGAGCTTTTAATATCAGAGTCACCTAGTAACCGTTGTCTTAAAAGAATCTTATTTGTTCATAAGATGATAGATAAGATCGAAAGGGAGGAATTATTTAAAGCGATGGAAAAGATTAAAGCCCTCATAGACAAATGTTCTGAACATGATTGTTCATTCTTGATAGAAACATTAAGAGACCACAAATGTACAGAACAGCAGATGAAAGATTCATTCCGAGTAAGTATATGACTATGATTTTTTGTTTTAATAACATAGAAAGAGACTCATTTGCGAAATAACAATACATCCTATTTAGGATTTAATAGAATCTCTACCATGTCCTAAGTGTCACAAGAATGCTCTTATAAGTTTTTGCCCCGATAAATATTCTTCGCCCCCTGATGAGGAAAACACAGATATTGAAGCATCTAAACGTCTTTTTCGCCTTCCATTCGAATTTGATGATAATGATAAATTAGGGTCATGGGACGTACTTCTTAGTGAAAATGCCATAAAAGACATTCAAAAGTTAGGACCTGATATGATTAATGCAGTTATGAATAAGCTCGGACAGATATCATTCGGAAAGTGGGACAAACATGGATTTCGATGCATAAAAGATCATAATATTCCTGTATATATAGCTGAGGTCTCCAATAATGTAATAAATCTAAAAATTCTCTGGCAGGTCGATTATGGATTCTCGATCCGTGTATACGAATTTACACAACTCGTGAAGGTTTGGGCTGTTGCCGAAAAGATTGATGAAATATTGGAGAACCTTGCATTGGCACATGAAAGTTATACCAAAGAGCACAGTAACAAATGTATACACAAACTGATTAGTCAAGATGGCAGGAATTTGCCTATAATTTTTGGAGGTGAGGAGACAACAAAGTCTTCTGAGGACGGACTACGTGACCCCCAGTTTGATGATGAAAAATTAATAGAAATACACGAAATGCTTGTTACAAATAAATTTACGCCTATATCAAAGGTATAGTATTATAAATCAAAGATCAGCACTCTCTATAGATGTTATGATAACTTTTTTTTTTTGCAGAAATTTTTTCAGTCATTTGCTAACGGTGGTTCTGGTTTCACGTTTCAATTGTCTAAGACTGAATATGAGTTCATAAACCATCCTACTTCGGCAATTATTATTGGCCGATCTGGTTAGTTATATAATTTCAAACTATTTTCTTTATATTGTTTATAAAAATATATTGCATTGACGTCTTTTTACACATTGAACACTTAGGGACCGGAAAAACTACAAGCATCATGTTTAGATTGATAGCTTCATATCTAACAAATAAAAAAAGGCAATTATTTATTACTGTGAGTGGTAATTTACGTCGTTTGATAATGCAATATTTTATTCGGCTTCAGGAATCAGTTATGCTTGCGGACGCGGGCAATAAAACGACAATTAAAAATGAATATACGGAACAATATCTAAATGAAAATAAGATTCCAAATTCATTCCGTCTGTTGAAAGATGAACACTTTCCTCTGTTCATTACCTATGGCAAGTTCTCAAAAATGCTTCTTGGAACTTATGAAGTTGATGTTCAAAAACTGATTAAGCGACAAAAATCTGGCACTGACGATGAAGAGGATACCTACTTTTCATTTGACTACTCTGATACCTTTGATCCACATTTTGTAAACTATCGAATTTTTACTATAAAGTATTGGCCTCGCTTGGGTGACTTTTATACACAGAAATTGGATTGTGAACTAGTTTACTCTGAGTTTTCCGTTATAAGAGTAAGTAACAATAATTAAATCTATAGTATAGTAGAGACGATTTTATTTGAAGTCTAATTTGATTTTTTTTCTTAAGGGTACAGATCCTGAAATCGACTACTTATCAAGGGAGGAATATAGAACTATTAGCATTAAGAGATATCCGACGTTTTGTCACGATCGTGACAAAATTTATGATTTATTTTTGCGATATGATGAAATGAAATCGCAAAATGGTGATTATGACTCAACAGATCGGTAAGGCATTTATCATTGAAAAAAATTTCATAAATTTTTCGGTCTTTTATTTTTATTTTTTATTTATTTATTGTAGAACAATGGCTATCTTTCGTTATGCTCAAAAACATGCATTTGGTGGTCCGCAAATTAATGAAGTTTACATAGATGAATGTCAAGACAATCAAATTGTAGATATTTCGCTTATCCTTAAACTATTTGATAATGCAAATGGCATCTTTTTAGCTGGGGACATAGCACAGTGCATTGCACAAGGATCTTCCTTCCGATTCCAAAGTACGTATAATATGATTTATCAATAACGTTTTACTCTTGTAATAACACAATATTTTAATTCAGGTGTACGTTCATTGATGTATACTTGGGAACTCAGTCGATTTGAACGATCTTTAACTAATTATAAACGACATGGCACCATAAGCCCGAAGCAATTCGAGCTAAATATTAATTATCGCTCCCATAGTCAAATCCTTCAACTCGCTTCGTCAGTAATTGATCTCATCTGGCATTTTTTTCCAGATTCAATCGATAAACTATCATGTGAACGAAGTGAGATTGGTGGTCCAAAACCTGTAGTCTTTTGTGAGGTTCAGGCCAAAGATCTATTTGATAACTTCTCTACAGATAAACAAGGAGAGCATTTAACTAACCGTATTGAATTTGGAGCCAAGCAGGTTATTATTGTACGTGACGATGAAGCTAAACATCAAGTTGAGGAACTAACTAAGGATTCAGCAATAGTAGAAACAGTGTTTAATTGTAAAGGAATGGAGTTTAACGATGTTATACTGTATAATTTCTTTACAAATTCACCTGCATGTGGAAAGGTAATATATTTTATTTTAAGAATTACTATAAAAATTTCACTAAATGCTATGTTATTTAAGTGGAGAGTAATTCACTCCGCTTTAGACAAAAATAAAGTGGGAGTTCCCACTTTCTCTCATAATAAATATTATATCCTATGCTCTGAACTCAAACAACTTTACGTCGCAGTAACTAGAGGCCGGCGTAGCATCTGGATATTCGATGAAAATGCTAAATATAGTGAACCAATTCGCACATATTGGGAGCAAAAAGGACTTATAAGGATAAGTAATGATGCGAAAGAAATCACTTTATTTGCTAAAGAAAGCAGCCCCGAAGAATGGGACGAAAAAGGAAATGAATTTTTGGAAAAAAAGAATTTTAGACAAGTAAAATCATTTTTAAAATATTTATGATATAAATAAAATTTTAACTAAATAAAACAAACCTTCTTAGGCCACTTTTTGCTTTAAGAAAAGTGGAAACGAGAAACTTCGTAATTTAGCCAATGCATATCATCTTCAACAGATCGCCAGAGACTCTATGAACTATTCAGATAACGCAACAAAAAAAAAGAAATTTATTTGTGCAGCTCAAGCCTTCAAAACATGCGCAGAGCCGTTTTTGGAAGCTTCATGTTATGAGGTAAAAGAATTAGTTAATAATTCTATTTATAGATTATTTAATTAAATTAACCGTAAAATATTTATAGGAGGCCGAAATGTATGAAGAAGCTATTAGTATTTACATTAGATTAGAAGAATATGAACATACTGCACGTTGTTATCATAAAAACAATAATTTGGAGAAGGCTGGTGAGTATTTAGAAAAGGCAAATAAGTACACTGAAGCCGTTCTCGCCTATAAAAATGGCAAATTTTACAAAAAAGTAATTGATTTAATGGAAAGGTAGAGTAAACCATTATTATTATAAATTATTTATTTATTTAAAGTTAAGTATTATATAACATGACGTATATTTTAATTATTGTATCAAGGAAAAAGCAAGAAATTAATAATGATAAATTCGATCAAGTCATCCTGTCCGTCTATTTTCATTACCGTCTAGAAAAAGATGAAAAAATATGCAAAAGAATTCTTTCGATTCTTGAGACACAAGATAAACGAGACGAGCTTATTATTGCGTATGCGCAAGAAATAGAGATCAAGGAAGCTAAGGAACTGCGATCACGTGGAAATTTCGAAGAAGCTGCCAATATGTTCATTAAGACTATTAAAAGTTATAAAAATTATGCTGAATCATTACAATGTATTTTATATCTATGTAGGATAAATGCACTCAATGTGATAAGAGAAACTATGGATTCTAGTGTTCTTGAGAAGTTAAATAAGCTTTGCGAAAAGGCAGTTAATATTATTAATGAAGCAAAGTTAAAGAAAGTTTCATCGGAAAAGCCCCAGCAGTGGGATAGCTTGATAGAAGAGTTCCAACTTTATAAAGCTTATTTAAATAACAATCTCGATCAAGTATATGAATTCATTAAAAATCGTAGAGATATCACCACAGAGTTTTGTGCAATAATCATTTGGCTGAAAATTCCACAACAAAATATTTACACCAAATATCGCTATAGATTAGAATGTTTACTTAGATTATATGAAATATCAATTCCTTTTATGGTTCTTTATGATAATGTTGGAACAAATCACAAGGATTTCGAAAACATTTTTGCTGTGAACGCTGAGAATGTGGTTAATAATTTGGATAAACAACTTGCTCGTATTTTAGGTAAAATGAATTTAAAACTAGGGAAAGTAGTTGAAGGAATTCACGAATATTTCGAAAAAATTTTTGCTATAAGCACTATGAATAATAATCCAAATAGTCGGAAAATCTCTCATGACAATCCTCTTGTTCATATAATTGATGAGTGCGGATTAGGAAAGGGAAAGTTAATTGACAATTATTGGCAAGTTTATAAAAAGAATGTTATTTACCATGCGATCTCGAAAACTCTCTCTTTGTATATTAAAAGACTTATTCTAAAGATTCATATGGATGGTCAAGAGTTTCCGGATATAGCCTTTGAAATATGCAGAGAATGTGCATACCCGAATAAATGGGGTAAATGTCAAAATCCGAATGAAAAAAAGCATCATATTAAACCAACACAATTGACTCTATATAAGCGTCTGAGACTTGCATCTCTTCAGTACACTGCAATACATCAATTAGACGCAATAAGAAGAGAATTTAAAGTCTTTGAAGATATTATGGTTTTGGGCAATTTTCTTAGTGAGTTTAAAGAGTTTAAAAGTTTGCAATATTTTTGGGAGAATAAGCTGATTAGAAATCATTATCGCTATCGATCGTCGCAACTAAGCTGCCCAGAGGCAACTGATTTAGTGATTTCTGAAATTCGTGACATGACATATGATGAATTTAAAATTGTAAATAGCAAAATATATGACAAATTTACATACAACGACATCAATGATTTTGCAACAATATTAAAATATCTATTCGTTTTAATCCAACGACAAAGTGATAATTTGATCGAATTCTGTGATAAGGTCTCAGAAATCAAATGCAAATATGAAGCGATTAAGGATTCTAAACCGATTGGGAATTCTGTGGCGGTTAAGGATTCTGAGGCGACTGGGGATCCTGAGACGACTGGGGATCCTGAGACGACTGGGGATCCTGAAACGACTGAAGATTCTGAGGCGATTGGGAATTCTAAGGTGATTGAGGATTCTGAGGTGACTGGGGATTCTGAGGCGGTTAGGGATTCTGGGGCGGTTGGGGATTCTGAGACGACTGAAGATTCTGAGGCGATTGAGGATTCTGAAACGATTGAAGATTCTAAAGCGATTGGGAAGAAACTTTCATCATTTATTTTGTCAATATATTTTAAAGATACTACACGTATTACCTTTAACGGCATATTAAAATTCATTGGATATATAGTTGAAAATAATAAATCGGTTAGGTTAGATTCTTTTGAAGCATTCAGTGATCTTATTTCACTCATAGAGCTCACAACTACTTTTATTTTTGCAATTCAACTAAAAAATTTCGATTTTTGTCTTCCTCGAAGTTATTTAGTTAACTATCTTAATCCATTCAAAATTAATTTATTATCAATTCAATGTGATGAAGATGCAGATAGTATAGAAGGCAACCTTAAAAAAATGCTCAATCAAGTTAAAAAAATTTTTGAATTATTAATTACTACAAAGTCATTTCACACAACAATTATTATTAGATTGATACAACATCTCGTCCTCATCGGCCTGAATGAAACAAAATTGATGAAACATATCCTTGATATTTTTAAGTATCTGTTTAAAAATCTTAATTCTTTTAATTTTAAGAAATACATTCGGGAAAGCAATATAGAAAAGTTGGTCAGCATTCTTAATGACGATCTCAAAACAGGATGCGATTCTCTAGTTATTATCCGATACTTGCAGGGCACGTCAAAATTTTCTGACTTAGAAAGAAGCGTTAAAACAATCATATACAAGGATGATAAATTTTATTCACAGCTTCGTCAAAGTTGCAAATTTATCCGATTGCAACAAGCTGTTGTAACTATTCAACGTTGGTTTCGCCAGCTTAAGAAGTAAAGGAAATTACAGCAACTTTATGACACGATTTATATTAAAGAAAAACAAGAATTATTTAGTATGATGGATATTAAGTAATAGTAAAATAGATAATTATAGAAATTTTAATGGCAAGACACTAGTATCTCTAGCATAGCGTATTCATAATTAGTGTGTTTATCATTAATTATTAATGTCATTAAATTTTGAACGATTTTCTCTACTAGCTACAACATGTCAAAAGTTTCTTTAATTTTGCTTGACCATTCAGATGGTTTCACAGTGTGATTTTAATAAGTAGAAATCAAGTTGTTTTACATGATATCTATTATATTTACCGAATCAAACCCAAACTATTATAGTTTAGGTTTGCCCACGCACAAATCTCAAAACCCTGCTCAAACTAATATTCAAACACTTTATTAATAATTTTCTTTAAACAAATAATATATATTCTTGTAGCTATGTAAAATATATTTGCAAAATATCAAGATTATTTTTTTTTTTTTTACCAGCAAGTATAATAACAATATGGATGATGCTTATGGATTAATAGGTTTCATATCATATCCTAACTCGAATAAAATAAATGTAAAGTATACTTGATGGACGAGTTGAATGGATTATACCAGGAACGGAGTACAACTAGTGATGTGCCGCGTACAGTACAGTACGCAAAAAATTTTTTAGAATATTCTAGAACAAATCATTAAAGTATCCCTATCTCAAATTTTTTGATTATGAAACTGTCTTCGCATTCTAACAAAAATTATTCCTTGCAGAATGTTGCATATAACTGATTAATAAATGCTACATCTATCATGTGTATTACGTATGATATACACACTATACAACTATACGTACTGTGCGCGAAAAAAAATTCAGATATCATATAAATGGCACTTCTATAAGTGCAACCAGTACATGAACAAATACGTTCTTCTGATTGGTTGTCCTTTCACATGAAGTGGTATTTATCCGGTTTTGTGAACTGTTTGCGATTTAGTTACAAGGCGTAAGCCTCGCTTTTTTCATGAAACATATATCGACGCATGTTTTCTAAAAAAAAAACATAAAATCGAGAGTGGCTTAACCAGATTTTGTTATATAATTTTTCTAAAAAAAGAAAATAAAAAGTATTCTATCTTATTTTTACTTAGTTTAGATAGTGCTTTAAAAATGTAACAGCCACTTACCATCGCTTGTAATGATTTGCTATGTTAGCCTAATTATACCAGGAACGAAGTGTACCATAGTCACGCACGAAAAAATTATGTACCAGGTTTTGTAGATCATTGTTCGCAGCAAAATTTTTTAAAGTTCATTAATGCAGTAATGGTAGGGTTAACATTTAGAATAAAGTTATATATTAGGGTTTATGTAGTAAATCGCCAAGAAAACCTTTACACCAGAACGTTAAAAAGTGGTTTTGCATGTAGTTTTTGAGAAATAAGCAATTTTTGACAAAAAGGACGTTTGGTTTGAACTTCCTGATCGTGTTACGTTTGTTACGTTACAGCTAATCCTTGAAATATGATTTTTAGATGTGAGATCGCGCCACAATAATCAACAAAACCTTGCACGCTCTAGTCAGATCAAAAATACTGAATCACATATTTAATCATTGCGTAATGTCACAAATTTGGTTGCACAATATAATTTGTCATCAATACCTTGCCAATCATTAGTGTGGTATGATACTCGAAAGTTTTATTGTTTTGAAATCGCTACTACTCGCACAAATTCACAAAAAAAAAAAGATAGCTACAGGTAAGATTTACAAGGTTATGGGATTTTTTACGAATTTATGCATATTTATTGAGGAGTAGTGAGTTTGGATGTTTTTAGTGTGCTCGCACCATATATAATCACTCTATAATTATTTGACTATATTATTTTTTTCATTTGATAATTTACGTTATCAATTTAAACCTTTTTCATTGATCTCTTTTTTTTAGGATGAGATTATAATTAAAAATCTAAACCATAAAAACAAAATTGTAAAAACAGTAATAACTAACCATAAAAACATCTCAAATAAATTACGCTAAAGGCTTGTAAATTTTGTGTCACGCGATCTTTATACTATCTTAGCGATAGGTTTTTTTCTGCAGTCACATGCTACTAGTGCTTGGATCGATTTTATATCGAATAATCTTTAAAAGATAGTCGGATATTCATTTAACTATCCGATACTTCGATTAATAACAATGTTGCATCAGTGATATGAGGTCACTAAGGGAAAACCAGAAATTATAAAAATAAATTTATCATGAATCTCATAATAAATCTATTTTTAGAATTGCCAGGTTTCTCTTAGCGACAATCATATATAATATCATATATTTGATTTTTTTATTTCGACCCTTTAATAAATACGTATTTGTCGTGATCCGGCCACCACTATATCCAGTGAACGATTCTTGAGTGATGCAGAGAATCTCATAACTGCAAAAAGTACTTGTTTAAATGCTTATTTATTTGAATGTATGTTATTTCTTAAAATGATTATAAATTGCACTGGCGCAATGTTTCCTTAAATAAAAGAATTTATTTTTCGAGAATATCATTTAAGTTTTTTAAATTGGTAATACCAATAAATATACTTGTTATTTAATATTTTAATATTTTTACTACTATTTATATATTTTGATGTATGGTGAGTTTGTCACAAAAAAGTTGTGTCGATTGCATCTTGATCAATTCAACGGATTCAGTCGGATAACTTATGAGCTAATATTTAAATTTTGCATTTATCTGGTGAATAGACAAAATGGATAGCAAATATTTGCTAGATGCAAGTACTACATACTACAATGCTTAGACCATCATTAAATTGGAAATTTTAGTATGGTTCTTAATTACTTGATAATTCAACAATATTAAATAATAGAATGTGCACATTACAAATCTTATTTTATTTAGCTGTTTAACGTAATGTTGCTTCATTTTTAGTTTTTTTTGTATTTGTATTTCTTTTAAATTTAATTCTATTATTATTCAAAATAGGGGTTTTGGTTATTATTGATAAGAGATTATATTTTAGTTGTGGATTTTTACTTTTTTAATGACTTTATAACATTAGAAATTTGTTTTTGATAAATTTTATGTAGCTTTATAAAGTTATATGAATCTTATATACAATTTTTACAGGTTTACAAATTCAATGTAGACTTATATAATAAGAATTTTTATATATAAACTATGTAATTTATTGTCACAGGCCAGAAAAATATGATGATCTGTGCATAACAATATGTAGCATGAACAACAATTAGGACCCATGGATCATATAAGTACAATCGATCCCACAATAGTGAGATATGCATAATCAAGTCTTTAATGCCAAGACAAACAAGACAAGGCAAATATATTCAAATCAAAGAAGGCATTATGACCATGGAGGTGATGTTTTAGAATAGTAAAATTTAAATACAAAAGAGACAGGTTAGTAAAGTGCATTAAAGTAAAAGTAAAATACAATACATAGAATACAATACTTACCTGGTTAAGTGAAACCCATGCTTGTATAGAGGCAAAATAGTGGAAAAATAGGAGAAAAAACTAAAATAAATAAAGAAATTGTTAGTAACTGCAAAATATATAAAAAGCAAATAAACATTTGATAAAAAATTACTTATATTTCATGTTCTAAGTAAAATAAAGAAGATAAAAGCCTTTTAGTAGTAGTAGTTGATAGTTTATAATGTAGTTTAGTAGTAGTTACTTAAAGTGTTAAATACAAAAGTCAAAGAAACAAACAAATAAAAAAAAATACTTACAAATTAAGTCTATGCCTTAAAGACTTGCTTTGTTATTTTTGTAATATTATGCAAAGTCTTGTTTGTTAAAGCAACAGACTTGTTATTTATCTGTTACATTATATATAATCTTATTCATTATTTATATAGATATAAAATTTATATAAACTTTATATATATTTATATAAAGTAATTTAATTTACTTTAATTATTTTTCAAAAATAATTAAGGTAATTATTAATTGATATACTAAGTAAAAATGTTCAATATACTCAAAAACCTTCTTTTAATCTCTAATTTAAACCTTAAAATCTAATTTTAACTTAAATATTTAAATTAAATTTTTTTATTATTTTACAAAATTTAATATAAAAATATATAATTTGTTATACTTTTAAAATATATAATAAACATTGTAACTGAAACTTGTATTGAATAAACAAATTATATCAAATAAAAACAACAAAACAACCACTTTAATATTAAAATAAATAGTAAATTTATATAACTATAATAAAAATAGCAAAATACCATAATGAAAATAAGATTTTTCTATTATATAAATAACTATTAAATAATATTACACTTATGATCTACAAAATAATTGTAAAAATATTATGAAAATAGATTATACTAAAAATTCTAACTCAAATTATACAATTTTTTTGAACCAATTGAATTAATTTATAAATATTTTTTATATAAACTAGTAAAAATTTAAATAGTTATTAAATGTTAAATACATAATTGGATAGTTTTAGTAGTGCACTTTTTTGTATCAAATAGCCTACTTGGCACATCTAGATTATAATAATTAATTTCATAAAACCTTAGTAAAATATGCAAAAAAATTAAATATGTATTGGTACAACTTTTTTATAACTGCTATAATAGCATTTAGATAAATATAACTATTATATAATATATATATTGAAATTTAAAATTATATATTAACAATAAATTAATACCTTCAGAGTATCTAATCTAATGTCGATATAAAGTAAGTAATAAGTTTTTTTTGATATTAATGCAGTAAGCTCAATACCTACCAGCAGGAACTTCAACAAAATCAATGGGTTTACTTATTAAAGCTGCCAATATAGCATAATTAGCTTTAATAGAATAGTAAATTAATATAATTTTATAAGATAGATACCCTTAATAGCGTCCGAAATTCTTTGTGTATTGATAACTTTACTAGTATATATAAAGTCTGGATGTTTTGGTGTAGCAATTTGCATTTCTTTTGCTATTTTATCTGCAACAATAAATTGTCTTTTAATTTTATTTGCATTATCTGAACTTTTCATGCTTTTGCTCCATTCATCAATTTTATACCAAACATCCGAAGCAGTGGGACGTTTTTTTGGATCAGAATCCATGCATTGTTTAGCCAATTCAATATAACAATCCGGTGTTCCAGGAGCAAATTCTGGTCGTAATCCTTTACAAATTTCTATTGCAAGACCAATATTAAATTCATAACCATCAAAAGGTCTTTGACCATTTGATATCTCAGACATGATGACTCCAAAACTATAAATATCAGCAGATCTTGTAAATTTTTGACCTGATAAAACTTCAGGTGCAACGTAAGGCATTACACCATAAATTTCACCTTCTGAATCAATTTCGTTATATTTTTTAGACAATCCTAGATCTGAAATGTATGATTGCATATTTTTATCTTGCAAAATATTACCACTGTGAAAATCTGCATGAATATATCCAGCATTATGAATATCAAATAAATCATCAGAAATATCCTTAAGTAGTTTTATTTTGGTTTGCCAGGTAAGATTATGAAAATTCATTCTTAAAAATTTATAAAGATTTCCGTTATCAGCATATTGAAATACCATCAAATATTCATTTGTTTCCATATTCTGTGTCAATCCATATATTTTAAGCTTGTTACCGGCAAGTGTACATTTCATATGATTGTAAAACTGTATAAATGTATTTATTAGTTTGATATGGTTTAATAAACTGCCTAATATATAATGATTAACCTACTTCTTTTAAAAAATCATGAGGATTATCATTAGAACTAGACAAGGTCTTGAGTGCAACTATGCTAAATGGTTCACGGGTTCTCACGTATTTATTATCGTAACTGTAATCATCATCATTGTCACCAGCATTATTATTACTATCCATTTTCTCAATTTTATTGATCTTTCGTATACCATCCAACCAGGTTGCAGAAAATACAGAACCGAATGCTCCTTCACCAATTTTTTTAATATTATCTAGTCTATCGAATGGAATCCACTCAATCATGCGTTCATAATCATAAATTCTAAGTTGGAATTCCTTCATACAATTATCAATATCCTTATTTCCACTTGTCCATCCTTGAATTACTATGTCAGGATCACATGTTTGACACCACGCTATGCGAGTATTACGTTTACTACAATGCGCACACTTTCCATAAAAAGGATCTCTGTACATTTTATTAGTTATTTCTCTTTGTTTACGCCATACTTAAATTTAATTTTATGCTTACCGACTATTTAATGCCAAACAGATAAATTAAATAGTAAATATTCGAAAATTTGATAATCTTATTTTAAATACTTATAAATATTTTTATACTCACTCACTGAAAAATAGTAAATATCGTAAGCTTGACTATATATTACTAATTAATCCAGATTAAAATGATATCTAGTATAATATAAAAGAAACAACTCACTGAAGAATATAAATTTTGGTTGCAAGATTTATAGTAAACAAGTATGTATTTGGTTTTAGAAGATTAAATAAAAACCCAAATTTCATTTTAATCCGAATTAATTATTATTATTTACTAATCTTCCTTATACTCACTAACTGTATTATTTTAAATGAAATTGAATAGTAAATATTTATATATTTGAGTAGATTAATTTAAATACCTAGACAAATAAACGTTCTTTATACTTACGAGCTAAATTAATGTGAATAAAATAGTAAATATTCATGAACTTAAATAGCTTATTTTGAATCTTCAGATTGACAAATGTTCTTTACACTTACGCTCTAAATTAATGTAAATAAAATAATTCAAATAAGAAATATTCATAAATCTGAATACAATCAGAACTCTACAAATGCAATCTCTACAAGCGCACACTCTAAAAGTGCACACACTCTTTAAATGCACACTCAAATTCTGATCCAAATCTGTATTTGACTTCTATAAATGCACTTTTTCTTGACATTCTCTAAATACACATTATTAAAGTGTGGTTGCAAATGCTACACTTGGAGAGATCTGATTGTTGATTATTAAATAATTTGATTAATAAAGGTCTTTTTCACTCACCTTCTAAATTAATGCGAATAAAATACATTAAATGATAAATATATACGAACGGCTTATTTTAAATACAATAACCCGCCATATACAAGATCTCCTATAATAGTAGACCCACTATATACTATACGCGGCTGAAATTACATAGTCTAGACTGCTTGTTATAAATAAAAAAAACATGTTCTATAAAATTTTTCTTTTAATTATATAAGCTCTCAACTATGTACTATACCCAAATATTAACATGTTTTAAAATAAGTGGGTGCAAGAGACCGGATCTAGTATATGGTAGTTTAGATTGCTTAAATCAAATCTTTTTATACTTACGCCCTAAATAAATGAATAAATTGAAATAAAATTATAAACCAGAATAATTTATTTTAACATTTTACTAAAACGCATAAGTAGTATTCAGCACCATATATAATTTTGCCAGTAAAATTTAGGGTTAGAGACCTAAACTGTAGTAGAGATATAGGCATAAATTGTAGGGTTTTTAGGCACTAAACATTTTTACTTATTATATCTGGCATTGATTATTTAGAGATATAACAACTGTGTTGTTGAGCACCACTGGTGCGATTTAGTAAAACCATGTTTTAAAGATTAGATTAATACATGTTGTTATACTTACAAGCTATAATTGAAAATTTAAATAATAAAACATTCATGAGTTTGAATAACTTATTTTAAATGCTTAGATTAATAAAGTTCTTTATACTCACTAGCTGCATTGATTTTAAATATTTATAAATAGTTCATTTTAAATACTTAGGCTAATAAATGTTCTTTATACTCACTAGCTGTAATATGATAAATAAAATTAATAGTAAATATTATTGACTCAAATACAATAGCATATTTTAAATATTTAAATTAATAAATGCTCTTTATACTTACGCACTTCAGTATGTTAAATGAAAGTTAAATTATGAAATTGAATATCTTGTTTTTAAGTACCAAATTAAAAATGATTTTTATACTTACGGACTAGACCAATGAAGATAAAATGATTTTTCGTAATGTTATTTAAAAATAAATAACAATAAACTATTTATTTTTATATTTAGAATAATTGACATTTATACTTACCCTCTAAAAAAAAATTAAACAGTTTCAATAATTAATTTTGAAATGTAAAAAAAATTCAAATATATTAACGAAAAATATTGAATCATTTACTTTTCCATCCAACATTCGAATTTGTAATTATTCTCTTCTACACCAATTCCGTACTTGTAGCAAATGGCAGTTTTAAGAATTCCCATAAAATTTCCTGCTTCAGCTGACTTTAAATAATGTACAAATGCTTTATTTTTATCAGTTTCAACTCCAATTCCTAAATAATAACAATAACCAACTCGATACATTCCATTAGAATTATACATCTCCGCGGATTTTTGATAATGGATGAATGCTTTATTTTTATTCATTTCCACTCCAATTCCATGTTCATAACAATAACCAAGCCAGAATATCTCATCAGAGTCATTCATATCAATGAAACTCAGATTATTAAAAGCATCAGTGACTTGGGTAATTTCATCTGATGAGCTTTTTTCTTTTGTATTTGACATTTAGATACAAAAATTGTACGTAATTTCATTGAAATGCAATTTATTTGCTCTAAATTTTTATGAGTGCTGACCCGGAACTAGTTTTAGCCCATCAAATACTGTGTATATTACGTAAATACTTCGTGTAACAAATAATGTTTCAGCTTGATAAATAGCGTTAGTTACTGTCATAACCTATATCGGGCAAATAATAAATATCGAGATACGTATGTACAGTCGGCTCACAAAGCTTATAGAATTGCAAATCAACGATGTTAATACCGACTTACATAGCGTCGCCCAGAAAAATAGTAGCCGGAATTTTTGATAGTTTACATATACTTCAAAAAATGATTGGTGGTAAAAATTATGGTAGCAGGTAGCACTTGATTTTTGTTTGGATCTTTGTTTGGGCTTTTGCTTCGATTTTCGGGTTGACTTTCTCGTTTTAATTTTGGTTTGACTTTGGACTTTCCTTTTGCTTCGACTTCCACTTTAGTTTTCATTTTTTACGTTGAGATTTTTTTTGCCGTGTTAAATTCACAAAAATATAACTTGAACCAAACATGATAGTTATATACCAGGAACGGAGTATGAAATACGGAGTGTATGGTTTTATGGCAAGTTAAGTGGAGTTCGCAATTCTAGGCATTTGATTGGATGCTTATACCTTGTGACTTTGTGTGCATGCATTTGTTACCTAAATTTACCATACTGTGTGGCTTTTTTATCAGGAGCGGAGTTTGTACAACGTACAACGTAGAGTATGGTTTATAGTGTTAGTGGCAAACCTGTACCCCCCCGGTCTCAAAGAATTGCCTCAAATGGAGGAATAGTAGGCCCCGGATCGACACTGCATAGGATCGTGACCGTAGCCGCTAAGCCCCCAGAACAATTATCGCTGTCAGACCCGAAATGTTAAAGTAATCTGCATTAACCCGATTGACAGTAAAGGCTAAAATGAGTCAATGGGTTAATATTGCCTTGTGGGGTAAAGCTTGTGGCCGTGTGGGTGCGTCTCTAATCGATTGAAGGAATAAGAACGTTGGTTGGAAGGTGAAAAGGAAGTGTTGAATGAGCGAGACATGAAGGCTGTGAAAAAGGAGGGATAAAGAATTAAATTAAAAAGGAATGACGGTTTGGGACCTATGGGAAAATAGTGTGAGAAAGCATAAGGGAATGTTCGAAAAATTCCTTAGAGAAACGATATAAATAGACCAAGGAATTACCTCTTGAATGTAGTGTGCTCCCGCACTAAAAAAAAATAAATAAAAATAAAAAATAAATAAAACATAAATAAAATTCGTTAATAATAAAAGACCCAAACCATATAACGGCCTATACTTATCTTGTAACGCTCCTTATCGTTCGCCTTGACCTTGGGCCAAATCGTTTCCGCCTCTGGAACGTTGAGGGACGTTACGCGGCATAATCGTTTTCCAAGCGACAATTCGTCGCATTTCTTAATTGCTTTTGTGTGTGTAATCCCACCGATCTGCCAGTAACAATAGGCATCTGAAATGGTGTATCTCTTTTTTATCCGATTGGTTATTCTAATCTTGTGACTTCGTCTTGTGATTTACCGACATTAGTAGCTCCGGAAAGTCTACGTACATGTACCAGTCACATGACCCTAACCTATCTAAATATTATGGACACGTACCAATCGCCGATCTTAGTTTAGGGTACGTGTGATTTCACGTGACTTGTACGTGTCCGTAGACTTTCCCAAGGAAATAGGTCATCGGCCAACACTGATCACATGATAATTACGCATTCACATCCGCTTAATTTGAAAAATTTTCCTAATAAGGTAATAACTGATTAATATATAAGGCCATCATCCGATTTGGTTTTCAAAAAATACAAACATGAGTCTTTCCGTGAACTTTAACACACATTCTCAATCTCTTACATCAACCTACAGAGATGTTAGAGATGGTGAAATAAATAAATGGGTAATTTATGGTTATGATAAAGGAGGGAATGATCTAAAGGTTTTGGGAAGTGGAGGTATTGTAATGTCAATATTTCCCTAAAGTTTTAATAAAATTTTGAGTTTTCTAAAGCAAAAAATATACATAATTTATAGATGGGGGACTTGATGAATTACAAGAGGAATTTAATGATGGCAAAATTCAATATGCATATGTGAAATTAAAGGATCCCAATTCAGAATTACCTAAAATTGTACTTATTGGCTGGGTATGTATTTAATCCAGCAGCTTATACAAGTCTTTATATTTAAATAAATAGTGAGATCATATTGTCTTTGCATACTTAAGTGCGGAGAGGGTGTACCGGAAGCAAAAAAAGGACTATTTAACTCACACCTTAACGAAGTTTCCAATTTTTTAAAGGTTTGCAATTTTTATATTTAAAGATTATGATTAGCTGTAATATCAAATTTATTCCACATATTTTTTTTAACAGGGATATCATCTTCAAATAAACGCTAGGTCTGAGGTGAGAAATGTCATGACTATGTTCTTGAATTATGCCTTTATTTTTATTTTTACAATTTCTACTTTTTAGAGTGATATTGATCCATCATATATAATGAAACGTATCGAAGAGAGTGGTGGATCTAAATACTCTATTAATGTTGATAAAAGTAAACCTCCGCCAAAGCCGGAACCTATTTTACCAGTGGTATGATATTATTTAAATTCAAATGAGAATATTTCCAATTATTAATTGGTTTTTATGTAGAGATCGGTGTATAAACCTGTTCAAATACCAAATATTACTGAAATGCAACGAAATGCTCCTCGAGACAGAATCGAACCCGTGGTATGCACTTTATATTTATTGATTTATTTATTTAATATCTGCTTTAACATTATAATCGGAGTTAAGCTGGGCTAGTAGAGCCTGTAGTTATTTGAACTTACACAAATGCTAAAATGATGTGAAACATAATATAATAACCATGAAACCATATATATGAAAAAGACTTTTGCTTTAATTATTACATGTATTTCTGTCATATAGAGATCGGTCTACGAACCTATTAAAGTACCAAATATGAACGAATTAAGGCGAAGCGCTGCCCAAGAGAAAGTCGAACCGGTGGTATGATATAGTGTTAATAATTGTTAAAGTCTATATACATCAGTACAAAGTCAATTATGTAAATTTAATTCGGAATGCGATGGATAATTCTATATTATTTTGTATAGAAATCATCATATCAACCTGTTCAGGTACCGGATATAAGTGAATTACAAAGAAATGCACCTCAAGAAAAAATTGAGCCTGTTGTATGTAATGGCATTTTTTTTTGTTTTATTAATAATTATTTGTATCTCCGCGTGTAATGTTATTGACTTTTAAATTGGATGATAAAAGCGTTCCACATATCAGCCTGTTCAGGTACCAGATATAAGTGAATTACAAAGAAGTGCACCTCAAGAAAAAATTGAGCCTGTTGTATGTAAATGGCCTTTTTTTTTTGTTTTATTAATAATTATTTGTATCTCCGCGTGTAATGGTATTTATTTTTAAATTGGATGATAAAAGCGTTCCACATATCAACCTGTACAACCCCCCAAACCAAAACCGCTTAGTAGTGCACGTTTGGCGTTCTTAAATGCTGGGAAAGAAACAGATGCAGAAAATAAATATCGAAAAGAGCGTGAGGAACGTGAAAGAGCTGAGCGTGAGGAACGTCAGCGTGAAGAGCGTGAGAAGACCAAACGGGAAGAACAGGAACGCCTGCGACAAGGACGCGAAGAGCGGGAAAGCAAGCGATTAGAGCGTGAAAGGGCTGAACGTGAAGAGCAGGAACGCGAACAATTGGAGCGCGAGGAACAAGAAAGAGCTGAACAAGAACGTGATCAATTGGAACAAGAAAGAGCTGAACAAGAGCGTGAACGTACAGAACAACTAAGACGAGATCGAGAGGAACAAAAAAGATTAGATGAAGAAAAAAAACGTGCGGAGAAAGAAAGGTTGAGACGACAAAAAGAGGAAGAGGAGGAATTGCTTAGACAAGAACGCTTGAAATTAGAAGTATGTAACTTTTCAACTAAACGAATTAATTTATATTTATTTCTTTTATGGATGATGGAAACTTACTTAAAAACATGTGTACATATACAGGATGAGGAGTTACTTCGCCAGCAAGAATTGGAAAGTGCCGAGGTAGTATCTAAATATTCAAAGCAATGTTTAATATTTGTTATTAATTTTCATTTAAATTTTTATGTTTTAATTTTACACACAATTTAGAATGGCGGAATTATAGAAACTAAAACCCTTTCAGCGCGTGTTATTTATCCATATGATGCTTGTAAAAAATATTATTTTCTCGGTTCTTCATTTTGCATATACTTTTGAAAGGCATAATTTGATTATCTTTTTTATTTTTAGCCGAAGATAATGAAATGTCGTTAATAGAAGGTGAAATAATTGTAAACATCAGCAAAATAGATGACGGATGGTGGCATGGTGAAAGTAAAGATGGTTCCCGCTACGGGTTATTCCCTGGTAAGTTGCTTATTTTTTATAAGTATCTTTGTATTATCTGTGCTAAATTGATTATATAATAAAGCAAATTATGTGGAACCTATTGAGGGTGAAGCTGAACCCGATGCCGAACTCACAACTGAAACGGTAAGAATAGCAATCATTCTGACTGATGCGAATATTACCAAACATTATGGCCTAAATTTTAATACCTTCTTGCATCAAGTATGAGCAAGACGAACCCGAGCCAGAACCTGAGCCAGAGCCTGAGCCAGAACCCCAACATGGGTATAGGGAAACTGCAGGAAACTCGGCCAAAGCCCTCTATGATTATGATGCCGGTGAAGATAATGAAATTTCATTTAAGGAAGATGATATTATCACTGATATTGAACATGTATCGGAAGATTGGTGGCAGGGTACATCACCAGATGGTGTAGTTGGGCTTTTCCCGGGTAAGTAATCCTTAAAGCAACTTTTTAAGCTCTTTTTCTCCTTTTTGGTATTTATTTATTTTTTATTTACAGCTAATTATGTGGAGTTAATTTGACATTAAGTTATCATGTAAAATTAGTTTTTTTTTTTCCTATAATTATATTAAGTATATAATTTTGAATCATATTAATGAGAAATAAGATATTATGTAAAATAAATGTAGGCTAGTATTGTAAAATCTTATTTTAGTTATCAGTGGTGTGGCAAATACTTATAAAAGCTTACTAAAAGCTTGATCATAAACAATATACTATTCTAATAAAAGGATTTATTTCGATTTAGATAGGTATATGTTATACATATTAAAAAATTACTTTAAATAGCATTTACTGTATAGAACGAATTTGTCAAATGTGATTTCTATGAAAATTCAAATCAAAAGATCACCATATGGAACACTTTTAATACCACCATTTTTAGCATCAAAAACTATGTTTCCTCTAACGATTGTTTGTTTAACTGTACCATAAAAAGTTCTTCCCATATACGGAGTAACTTTATTTTTAAATTGGATAATATCTTTTGTAATCTTTTTATTAGAAAAAAAGATTGTGTGAAATAATGATTATTTTAAAAGAATTATGTAGAAGAATAGACTAACCATAAAGGTTTCTTCAGGATTCCAGATTACAATATCCGCATCATATCCTACTTTGATATCACCTTTTTTTTCTTGTAAACCAACTTGTTTGGAGGTATTTTTTGACAACCATGTATATAAATTATAAAAACTAAACAATATAGAAGATTAAACACGGAAAATTGTATCAAATAGTTTATAAACATAAGGAAGTCAAACCTGCAACCACGTTTTTTCGCTTCAGTCCATAACACTGGTAATCCAAATTGCAAAGTAGAAATGCCACCCCAAGATTTTAAAAAATCTCTTTCCTCTTCTTTTTTATCTAATTCTTTAAGGTCTGCAGTGCATGGAGAATGGTCAGATACAACATAATCGATTGTACCATCAAACAAAGCCTTAATATAACAATTAGTCATGATAAAATTAACGAACTTTCATTTTTCCGATTTTTATACTTTATCATTATTTATCACACACCTGCCAAAGTTTTTCTTGGTTTATTTTTTCCCTAACAGGAGGACAACATTTGAATTCAGTCCTACCTAATGGTACGTCTTCGGCAGATAGACACAAATAATGAAAACATGTTTCAACAGTCAACGGGATACCATCGGATTTTGATTTGCGGATCATATCAATAGCATTCGCAGCTGATAAATGAACAATATGAGTGCGTACAGTACTATATTCCTTAGCTAGTCGGGTAACAAGAGAAATGGCATTAAGTTCAAGAGATTGTGGCCGAGATTGAAGAAAACGATTATAATCAGCATTTTCATTAGATATCTCAAGAGATTTATCAATATCATTTCCATCGTTAGATTCCATTTCGGCATGAAACATAAAAAATATTGAATTATGACCCTTTTATGAAATTAAATATTTATTATGTAAAGACCTTATAGAAAGAATTAATTTGGAGAATTAATTAATAATTTAGAGACTTTCCTGTAATTCATTATATGCGTTCCTAACATCTTGCTCATTTACACAAGGAAATTCATCTACTCCACTATTTATTAAAAAACCTTTAAATCCTTTGACTCCAGCGTTTATTAAAGGAACCAAATCATTCTAGGAATAATAAATAGTAAATATTGATTGTATAATATATATATAATATATATATATTTTATAAATAAAATAATTTATAACCTTATTTCCTGGAATAACTCCACCATAAAAACCAACATCTACCCAGCATTTTCCTTTAGCAGCGTCAATTTTTTGGTTTAAGTTATCAACGGTAGTAGTTGGAGGAATTGAATTTAATGGCATGTCAATAACAGTGGTTACTCCACCTGACATTTCAAAATAAAACAGAATTGAATCAAAGTATATATTATTAATTAAATTATAAACAAAAAGTACCAGCGGCAGCAGCTTTTGTTCCACTTTCAAAACCTTCCCAGTCAGTTCTACCAGGTTCATTCAGGTGAACATGAGCATCAACAATTCCAGGCATAACAAGATTATCACCAGCATCGATGAATTTATCATTTTCTAGAAAAGCGTAAGAATCAAAAGATGATTTATTGTTGATAATAGCACTGATATATCCATGTTTGTTGATTTCAATCGTAGCGGGAAAAGGATTAATTGAGTCAGAAGTAAGAATACGAGAACCAGTTATAACCAGAGAAATATCATGCAACATTATATAGTGAGTATAAGCTTTAAAACAAGAAAGACTTCAAGAGGATTGAGTGTGCAGTTATTATTAAACCCATTGCATATCATTGCGTTTTATCGTTAATTGTTTTACAGTCAATCACAAAAAAGCAATGGTAAACCATCCAAGTAAGTATTAAGTAGAGCTTCAACGCCTTAAGAATTAATAAAGAAATTATTACTTAAATTGTACGTAATGGAAACATCTTTTAACGTTAAAAACCTTTTATATGAAGAATATATTTTTAATACATTTTAATATATGGGATGGGTTGACAATTTTTTCAAAAGTAATTTTTTTGCATAAATCAATTTAGAATAATATTAGGATCATTTTTTACTTAAAACACAAAAGTTGTATTAATAAAATTATGCAGTATAGCTCTTTAAAATTTGCAGTTTCTTATAATTTATTATACAAAAATTGATTTTCCGATCTTTTGTCAATTTGGGCCCTTTTCTCAGCATATTATATATCAACTTTATTAAGGAACAAAGTTTAAATTTTCATTCATAGATAAAAGTTCTAATTTTTACACACTAATAATAAAAGCTATTGACCTTAAGATTATTGTTATATATTTTTTTGGCATTTTTATAATAAAAAAAAAAAAAATTAGAAACATAATTTACAGTTTAAGGGATGATACCAATGCCTTGAGATAAAGGCATCCGCGCGTTATTTCGAGTACGCCCATGGACGTTATTTCAACAACAGATCGATTTTTTGCGATCGTGAAGACTAGTTCTCCGAAACGGTCTGCGCAGTTGACCGGGTTGACCTATACTTGACCAGAGTAAAACCCGGGTTTTTAATCAAAATTGTATCATATCTAATACTATTACTAATGCTTTAAGATGATCGATTAGATCTTTTTCCTCAGTTTACTGCAAAAAGCATACTTCATAAGGTCTGGAGAAAGCCGGACTATTGTTGCTGCTGTATGTGATAGATGTACAGTAAGTGATTTGGCCTCGATTTCAGTATTAGATTCAACAAGATCGAGCTCAAATTCGTTGTCTTTAGTTAAAGACATTGTTTCCAATGATAAGGTTGAACCCGGGTCATGTGATGTATTTTTACAGCTGCTTTCATTATTTTTGGGACATCTGGTAAAAAAATTGACCGAATGTTTTTGATTTCGGTAATGATAATAATGTACTATATCTTTGCTAAATGACAATACAGGTTTTCTCTTGGTGGCACTAATTTAATACAGGTTTTTCCTATGCGGTTGGGTACCCTTATGTCAAGCAAAAATCGGACCCTTTCGATCCAAATACTTAGGTTGGAGTATCTCAAGTATTTCATTTATATCCGATGTGAAAAGTAAGTATTATACGTAAATTTTAACGCTGAACATTTTTAATTAGAAGTCGGAGGTTGGTTAGCATAATAAAATTCGTCTCTATTTAAGAATTTTCACTTTTTTGCTGTTTTCGCTGTTTGTTTTTGTTACACAAGAACCTGAGATTTTATTGGTTCCGGACTAGAAATTTTAAGGTCGGAGATCGATTTTTGCTTGACATAAGGGTACCCTATGCGGTTATTTCAGAAAAGACGGGCGTCTTTATAATATTTATCATAGATAAAGAAGCTAAAGGATCTTTAGTTGTAAATTCATTTTTCAATACCCTCATCTAATTCTTGCTAGTTTTCTTTTTGACTTGTATTTTGTAATAATCATTATAATTAAAACTTTAAATAAAATATTTATTCTGATTTCGTTGATTATAATTCTTGACGCAGTTTCGACAAAGATTAATAAAACCTTGGTTGTTTAGAATAATAACTTGCATTGTGTATTTTTGTTAAACCAGCAATCAATTCTTGTTCATATTAAACTTTTTTCATTAGCGTCTGCTCTTTGTATTTATTATATTTTTTGTCAGGATCTGTTGGTTGGCAAGAACCACAAACCGAGCATACTGGACATACGTTCAAGTGAAAACTTAATTTTGGATGCGTTGACATTGTAGTATCATTCAAAATACAATTGCAAAAATTACCGATATATACAATTATCACTATATTACTAATTACGCTCAAATCAAAAGTTTATTACTGCCGAAAGCAAAAATTATCGAATCGACAATGATCATTCGGTCAATTTTTTACCAGATGTCCTAAAAATAATGAAAAAGCTTTAAGCTCGGGTTTAAAATCCGAGTTACCCGGTTTTTCTGACCGTTTCGAAGCATTAGTGAAGATTTACGGTTAACATAAGTAAAAGTTTTATAATAAAAACATGCAGATTTTTTTATTGTATTAGTGACCTAATAAAAATCGTCTGCGTAATAACCGTGAAGATTCTTCACGGTGGTCGTGTTCAAGTATTTTATTATGACGGCTAGGGGACCGATTTCCGCTCATGCTCGTTATTTCAATATATACCAGGTACTATATGCCTCTAAATGAATTAATGAATTTGGCTGTACAATTAAATAATATACTATTTTTATGACCAACTCTACTCTATTAGCAATGGGAATTTCTAATTGTTAATTACAAATTGTTAATGAAAAATTAATTAATAATTTAACAATAATTTCTAAATGAATTATCCAATATGCATAGAAGATTATCGTAGAAAATGGTCTAATCAATGGTTACACCAATGATTTCTAATCATAGATTACTTCTGTTATTGGTTCTAGATTCTTGATTGCTGTTGTTTCTTTCCACTCTACTCCTAGTTTGACATTTGTTACTAGCTTACATAAAAGTCTTGCTGGTATGTTTATTTATTTGTTTTTCTATTCTAAGCAATATTCTATCTCTTTAAGAGTAAAAGGCAGTATTTTAAAATTATATATAAACCTAATGATAAATTTTTTTTATATTTAATTTTATGAAACATTATATTAAGTAAATTAATTTTAATTATTAAGTAAAAATTGTAGAGTAGGTCGTTCTGATTCTAATAATAGTAAAATTATTAAAATAGGTTAAAAACTCATTGAGATATGAATTTTTAAAAATTAGAATATAAAATTATAAAATAAAATTAACTAATAGGTTTATG